CACATAAATAGAAAAAATGAGCCAGGTGCTGGTGGCTCACACTTGTAATCCTTGCTACTCAGGAGGCAGAGATCATTAAGATTGCAGTTTGATGACAGCCCAGGCTGTTCTCGAGACCCTATCTTAAAAATAATCAACACAAAAAGGGCTGGGGGAGTGGCTCAAGTGGTACAGCACCTGCCTGATAAGAGTGAAGACCTGAGTTCAAACTCCAGTACCACCAAAAAAAAAAGGTAAGAAAGAAAAATATTGACTCACAAATTTGTATAATACCACATAAACAGTGAAAGCAATCTTGAGCAAAAAGACTAAAGCTGAAGGCATCATACTACTTTGACTTCAAAATCTACTACAAGGCTATAGTAATGAAAATGCTGGCATAAAAACACACAAACCAATGAAGCAGAATAAAATAAACCCATGCACTTATTGTTAGTTGCCAAGATCACACAACAGAGACAGGACAATGTCAAGAAATATCCAGTCAAAAACTGGATACTGACATGCCGAAGAATGAAACTGGACCCTTATCTCACACTATACATAAAAATCAGCTCAAAATGGATTTAGGACTTAAATAGAAGACCAAAAACTATGAAACTAATAGAAAAAAAAATAGGAGGAAAGCTCCCTGACATTTTTCTGAGCAATGGTTATTTGCATATGACATAAGAGCTCAAGAAACAAGTGAAAACAATTGGGACTATACCATATAACCTATAGGAGTAAATATTTTCAAACTATACATCTGATAAGGGGTTAATACCTCAAATACACAGGGAATTCACACAACCAAATAGCAGAAAAACAAATACTAAAAACTGGGCAAAGGACCTGAATAGGCATTTCTCAAAAGATGACATACAAGTGACCAACAGGTATATGAAATGGTATTCAACATCACTGATCAAGAAACTGCAAATCAAACCCTCAGGGAGATATGATGGCTACTATCAAAATGACAAAAGTGTCAGTAAGGCTCTGGAGAAAAGGGAATCATTGCAAACTATTGATGGAAATTAGTGTATTATAGCCATCATGGAAAACAATATGGAAGGTTCTCAAAAAATTGAAAATAAAACTATCATTATGATCCAGCAATACCATTTAGGGAATTTATGTATCTAGTATACAGAAAACAGAAAATCCTGACATTTGTGACATGAACCAGAAGGACATTATGTTAAGTGAAATAAGCAAGGCATGGGACAAAATACTACATAATGTTACTTAAATGTGTATTCTAAAAAAATACAAACTCTGAGAAGCAAAGAGAAGAATGGAGATTAACAGAGGCTGGAAGGGGTGGGGTCAGAGGTTTCAGATTACTAATGTATAGAATAAGTTCAAGAGATCTATTGTACAACATGGTGACAACTTTTAATAACAATGTATTGTACTACTGAAAAACAAGACTAGATTTTAAGTGTTCTCCCTACAAAAAATAAGTATGTATGTAAGGTAATCCACTTTAGTTTGATTTCACCATTCCACAGTGGGTGTACATTTCAAAATACCATGTTATACGTGATGTATGCAATTTCCTTCCTTAAAACCCATTTTAAAAAATGATAAAACTTGTAGTAGCTGGCTTTTCATTTTGTCTAAATTATCAGCCCAAACTAACTTCAACTGAGGAATCTATTTTCAGTTCATTTAGGGGGGAGGCATTATCTATTCATTTCTTTTAAAACGAAAGCAAGAATTTTTATTTTGATGGGTTTCATTATGACACTTAATATTAATGTCTTTTCTCATTTCATCCCCTCACTACCGTCTTTATCTCCCCTGTCCCTCCACTGAACACCTTCTCTTCCCAAAATAACCCCTTTTCCCACTTTCATGTTTTTGTTTTGGGGATGTTACGCAGTAACGGGCTTCATTCTTGCAATGTAGGTGTTCTACCACTGAGCACATCCCCAGCCCTCACTTTAAAAAAAAAAATCTTCACATGAGAGAAATGTGGCTTTGTCTGAGTCTGACTTATTTTACACGATCATCTCCAGTGCCGTCATTTCTGCAAATGACATGATTTCATTCTTATTATGTACACTCATATCTGTATAACTGCACAAATGATAAAATGTTGAAAGTGTATTATTTTCCCCAATGGTGGAGTAAGGCCTAATGTGACTAAAACATCAACTAATTATCTATCACAACCTACTTCAGGCACCCTGTTATACTTAGATCTTTACCATTTCTGAGAGCTTACATATAAAAATACTTAGGCTAACAGAGACTCCTAAGGTCCCCGCAGAAAAGAAATGATTAAGGAAGTGCAAATGCTAATTACCTTGGATCATACATTTATTATATGCAGGTATTATTTATAATGTGTATGTACCTATAAATACAATTATTATGTCTCAAAAATATTAAAGAGAGAAAAAACAAGTTATTGAAGGAATCAGTTCATTTTTAAAGCTTAAAGTGAGGTATTCTTCCAGTGTCACCCACTCACCCCTAAGCAATTAATACATAGTTCTTACATCTAAGATGATCATTTATGCTGCCTCTGTTGCCTGAAGTTCTCAGCCTTGGCCACCCCATTCCCATTTTACATGGCCCATCTCCTGGCTTTAAGATGCAACGTAACATATTATTTTATTCCTAATAGCCAAAACGTAGAAACCCAAATGTTCTCCAAAACACTGACTTGATAACAAATCATAGTATTATCATTACAATGGAACACTACTCTGTAGTAAAGGAATGAATGTTCAAAACAACAATGTAGATAACTCTCAAAACATTCTAAGTTAAAGATTTCCAAAAATGCTATATGATTCCACATATATGAAGTTCTAGAAACAGCTAAGTTTAATATATGAGCGAAAGAAATGTTAACAGCTGTTGTTCATGTAGAAAGGATGGAATCACAAGATTGGTTAGAGAGTAAAATTAGCTAGGTTAACCATAATGTTCAAAGTTATTGATAGGGATTTGGGTTAACAGATTTAGGCATTTATCACAACAGCAAAATATACTTATAATTTGTATATACTCCACTTATCAATTATATATCAAAAGAAAAATTGTTAATACTAAACCTTTAATGATATGCATGCTAAAGTATTTAGGAGGTAGCATTCCCATGTCTGAAACTTGAATACTTAAGACAGATTGACGGGTATGTAGTAATACCAAGTGTAAATGTTCACTATAAATTTTTTCACCTTGTATGTGTGAATTTTTCTTTAAGAAAATGTTGGGAAAATTCAACTCAATTATTATAGGAAAGGTCTTTGAACACACGTTAGTGCCCCTGTTCTCAAGACACCATATAAAAACATGTACTTAGTTCATTTTTTTAGTGTTGAATCTGCATCTATCCAACCTCAGAAACTGTAACCAACTTCAAAATAAAGTCTGTTTTGGCTGGTCTTTGGTGCCAGCAGCTAAGTACAAGACCAGGCACACAGTTAAAGACTTACTGGACCAGGCATGATCATGCACACCTGTGGTCCAACTTCACAGGAGGAAGGACTGTGGCCCAAGGCTGGCTCTGGAGTAGAAGTGAGAGACCCTACCTAGAAAGTGCCTGGCCCTGAGTTCAAACCCTAATACTATCCTCCTCCAAAAGATCTGTCAACTTGAAATTTAACTGGGAACTTTATCATTTAGTTTCCTCATAGCCAAAGGCCTTGGGTTTCACTGGCTCAGTTTCTTTTGCTGAGGCAAAACAGCTACCAGAATAATCTATCTGACCCAGTACCCATCCACACGAATCCATACAAGTTCCTTTTGTCATATGATAATGAAGATGTATCTCTTAAGTTATCCTACTTTTCCTCAGGTCTCTCAAGCTTTAGAACTATTAATGAGTAACTGTTGAAGCTGATTTAATTTGTACCTTCTTTATAGAAGCCATCTGGGTAGCATATTAAGACAATGTTTGTTCACACACCAAATTAAAGCCAGCAGGAATTCCTTAAAGATGCTCCACAGCACAATGAATAATATACCATTTTTATCTTTATGCAATTACATGTGCTATCCTTATCATCAAATCGTTTCAATGGTTTGTAGGACACAATGCAGCCAGTATGCCTGGTCTTGGATATCAACACCATCACTTACTACCCATATAATTTGTCTAAGTTATTTTAACTTTGCTGTGCTTTGTTTTCCTCAACTCCTTTTGATGCATTAAAAAAGGAGAAAGTGGATAACATGGCTTTTCATTAGGCTTAATGAATTGTTACAGGTAAACCACTTTAAACAGTAGCTGGTTATTAGCTATCATTTTGTATGTTCACTTTTGAACATATGACTCCTAAATGCCTACAAATGAGCAATGTACACTATACGAATCTCTTTTGAAGAATACAATGCAAATTCTGTTAACACATAAGGACAGTTTTCAATAAGAAATTTTTAAAAATTTTTTTAAGATTTTGGCTTTTACCACCATGCCATGAGCCCATTATCTAAGGGAGATTTTCTCTTGTTCTCATAACTCAGGAATCCGTACTAGTTTCCTTTTTATAACACCTTTTTTTCTTTTTCTGGTGTTTCTGGGGTTTGAACTCTGGCCTTTATTTGAGCCATACCTCCAGCACTTTTGGTTTAGTTTTTTTACAGGTAGTGTGTCTCCTGTTTTTGCCTGGTCTGTGATCTACTAAGTATGGTATCGTACATAGCTTGAATCACAGGCACACACCACCATGCCTGGAACCTTTTTAATGTTTTTGCCTGGGCTGGCCTTGAACCGTAATCCTCACGATCTCTGGCTCCCACGTTGTTGGGATTACAGATGTGCACCACCATGTCTTGCCCTAGCACTTATTTCAAGTTTCTTTTGTTTTCTCCATTGGATCTATGAGGGGAATACCTCAGCATTATACCTGGCACAAAGTAAATAATCCAATGTATCCTGATGAACAATGTAAACATGTTCAAAGTATGTTTAACACATTCCTGATAAAAAATTAAAGCAAGAATGGTTACACTTTCCTATTTTAAAGTAATAATCCAATTAGGGATTTAGTCTCAATTAAAAATATATGATTTATTAAAATATAAAATCATGATGTTTTCTAAAAATATTCCCACTCAAGCACATTAAAATATGTGATATAATTTGTAGACCATATACAGCCACCCTCTTCCCCTTTGATTACAAGAGATAAAACATACAACATACTGTAGGTTTATTTTTATTCAAAAAGTTACTGTCTCAAGACATAAATACAAATCAGAAAACAGTACAATTAGGACATAGAAGTGGAGGACAACAGGTTAGAGTAATAATATAAAACATTTTTAGCTGGTTGAAAACAAAGCTGTAAAGAACTGCTTTCACAAAGAAGTACTCCTTTCAAAGAGTGAGAAAAAAATCAACTTAGGTTTAAAATCATATATACAGTCCTCTCAGCAGTTCTAGTAAATGCAGTGGTGTGTAAAACAACATATGCAATACTTTTGCACATAACAATATTTGTTGATGGAAAATCTGTTAGACAAGCCTGGTTTCATTTGTTATTAACCACGACTTAATAAAATAATTGAATTTGTATTTTATCATGACCTTTAAGCTAACCTATGGTTTTGGCTACCACAGCCAATGCTTGTTGATTTCTGCTGACTCTAAAAACTGGAAGCCTTTTGGTATTCACCCATCTGAAGATATTCTTGGTATTGCAAGCATATTAAAGGCATGGAATGATTAAAATAATATCCTCAAGAACTGAGAGACGACTGACAAAAGATACACATGTAATATAAGTTAATATTTTGTTTTAAACGATGTCTAGCTGCCTAAGCCTCGCAAAATGAGTTGATGTCAAAATGGCAAGTAGCCACTTTCTGTTTTAAACTAATTCATTTGTGAAAGGACAAAAAATGAAGTTTAAAGCTTAGCTTTCAAAGAATATTATGGGTTATGAATTCTATTATCCCATCTAATTTACATACAGAGGAAATGTACTGTAACCTGTTAGAAGTATCTTTAACCTGAAGACTGCTTGCAAAGACAGATAGATAAAACAATATAAAATACAAATTTAAAAATCATTTTAAAGCATGAACACTCATGCTTTTCTATTTTTAAACATTGTTAAACTTTCAATATATTTCTGAAACCTCATAATTTTAAGTTGGAATTTAAAAGTAAGAAAAAACTAAACAAACTGCGCAATTATAAAATCAGCACCAATTTATATATATATATAATTTTATTTAAAATTTAGATCCCTATTCCCACACTCTAATAAGCTGTATAATTTTTGTTTAGAATTTTTCTGCAAACATACTACAATAAGCTTCTTTTATTTGGAGACAAAATACAGTGGCACTACTGGAAGGAATATCACAACATTACATTTTTATCTTAAAGGACAAGCAAACTTTCAGGGTCGATAATGGGATAAACATGTTTGAGATGGTTACCTTCTGGCAGTTCACTGCATCTGGATAGTTCTGAAAAGTATAGAGAAGCTCTTGGATTTTAAAAATATCTTAAAATACATTTTAGATGAAAAAATTGTAAAAGTTCTGCTTATAAGTTTAACTTTTCTCCACAATTACAATATTTAAAACAAAGTTTTGTTGACTGATGTTTTAAGCATTTAAATTTAGAATGCTAAAAACAATTCTATCCTACAATTTCGGGGTCAGGGAATAAATTCATCCATAACTTTTGTTTCTTGGATGTAAACAGAAATCCAGCAGAGGCCATCATTATTTAGTACAACCAGTAAATAAATGTGAGAGGATTCTTATCTGTACCAAATGCCTCTTCAGATTGTTATATTTTTTAAAAAAGCATGAAATAATTGATTTAAAAGCCAACTAACAGCGCATAAATAAAATATTTACTTTCTAAGAAAAACTGTAGCTTATCATCAAATTGTTTACTTGTCCTTTACTTTTTTCAGGCAAACAAAACTGCCCTCAATGCTCTTGATCTTGGTAAGCATAAGCATGTCATATTCTCCTTAGAGAAAAATCTGTACAGAATTTCACTGTATCTACCACACTTTATTTTAAAATTTCCTCTTCCACTTAGAAAATGACTTCACCACAGATTTAATTGTGTACTGGATTAAAACATTGACACCCCAAGAACCTAGTGAGAGAGAGAAAAAAATTGTTAAAATAATAATTCATTTAATATTTTATTAAACAAAGTGCTAGTAAAACCACTTTAAACACTTCCCCTCTCCTTAGATATGCAATTCCAAAATTAACATGACCACTAATAAATAATGAAATACTATCAGAACTACTCAAAAATGGTAATTAACATACAAATATAACTAAAAGTAGGAACTTTGGGTTAATTATATTTATATATACACCTAAAGCCCTGAACATACAAGTGCATTCAACATTTGTTGATTAAACAAATAAACATGTTTCCTCACATACACTTCTGGCAAAGGTTCACTGTTTAGGCAAAAGAAGTCCTGCCATCAGAGGAAGGGCTGACACCAGTGGGATGGGGGAGGTGTTGGGGAAAGGGTGAATATGGTACAATGAAATGTGTACATATGTAAGTAAATGCAAAAATGATACCTTTTGAATCTACTCCGGGAATTGGGGAGAGGGGTGAAGGTGACCGGATGAGGTGAATTTATGTATATTTGATACATTGTAATAACCTACGTAAATGCCACAATGCCATCACAACAATAAAGGAATTAAAAAAAAAAGAATGTCTTAAGAACTTGGCCATTTGTACTCTGAAGTGTGTAGTTTTTAAAAAGGTAGTTGAATGTGCACACACACACAAAAAAAATCCAAGAATAATAAAAGTATGTAACAAACAGGGAAGCTCTTTACAAAATTTGGTCTGAGTTAATGAACTGAACTATAAATTTTAAGCAAACAAGTTAGGTGAAATCTGAGCAAAATGACTTATATTGATATTCTTCTACACGTCCTAACTGGGAAAAGAATGTTAAGTAAAATCTATTGCTTGTCACTAAAAGTAAAACAAAATGACGAATGAAATAACTCCCCCTTCCTCATTAAACCAGTATGGCATGTAATTTTAGTAGCTATACTAAGTTAGATGTTTCAGTTAAAATTCTAGCACTTATTTGGCCAATTCAGTAATATTTTAGAGTATATAATTAGCTAGAAAAAAAATTGCTAGCAAAGTCAAAGGCTGAGGTTGAGATCACAAAGGGTTCTTGTAAGTTAAATCTCAGAAACATATGAATTGTTTTAATCTAAAGGAATTGTGTGTTTTCAGGCAAGGAAAACAAGTAACTACTTCCAACCTTTTTATAATACATATTAAGTAAAGTGTTTGCAACTCCCAGTAACAATAACAAAGAGGAATTGTGCACTCTTATTTCTTACACCTCCACCAGCCATAACTACTATACTACTCATCAGTTATCTTCCCCTCTCCTCTAAGAAGTTTCAGGGTTCTCTTTTACTGGTTAAGAGTCAAGAGTGTAGCAAAACTGTTTATAATGTTTTCACTAAAGAGGCCTGGATGATGCTTAAGAGACCCTTCTAGACAAAACACTCTATGATTCTGGGTAAGGAAAGGTGTGATGATTAATTAAAGGATAAATTTTAATTAGCTAATTCTTAGTGTGGGGCACTAAGATGACTCAAGTCCTTTCCAAACAAAAGTACCTAACTATAAAGCACCTGAACACCTGGAAATCCCTTTGCTGCTTGTACACACTAGGTTATAAGTACATTCTACCACTAGAACATTAAATTAGCCCTGTTATATAATAGAGCCCGTCTTTACCAACTTTATGCTACAGATAGTTGTAGCAAGAGAATCAACACAGGAGAAGAAACATTTGTGACACTTTCTTTTTTGTGCTAACATAAAATATATGTTTCTGATGTTAACATTAATATATATTTAAACATATACTTATGTTGTGTCAATGCTGGCAGAAAATGAACATTACTACAATAGGATCGACCAATTTTGTTTCCAGATGTAAAATCAAACCTAGAATCTGATGCATATGTGATCCCAAAATGATGCTGTTTTTGATATTACCACTTAGATAATATGAAAATCATGTTTCAAAAGACATACTTAAGAGTACCTGTATCTATAGTAAGGTGCTTCAAGTTATTTCACTTACAATTTGAGAATCTTAGAATTGTGCATTAAGGGATTTCAATTTCAATTCTAATGTTTTGATGAGTTACTTATCATAGGCTTGATTCTACTGTATTTATTGTAACAAGGAAAACATTTTTACACTGAAAGTTTTGTTACATTATGTTTGAGAAACTGTGGGGTATGTATATTTAAAAAATAAACTACTGTGAACTTTAAAGATTACTGAGCACTCAGTTATGTGCCTGCTGCCATCATGTGGTAGTACTGTAAAATTACAGACATACGTACACGGCTCATTTCCTTTTTAGTAAGAGGCAGCTAAAATTTTATCAAATTAATAAATAAAGACCTCAGACTTGTAATATATTCAATACACATGAGAATGCCATAGGATTGCTATAAATAACAAAATTAGTAGGTCTCTGTATTTTACTTTACTCAGGCTAGTTTTCTCTAAAAGTTAAGTATCAAAAATAGATACACACCGTTTATATTGCTGTTTCAGTATTTTAGTAATCTGCAGAACACCTTTTCACAAATCTAGTATGTGACTAAGAAAGCAAAGGCTTACAGTACTGATGTTACATGAATACAAGAAAAATTATGTTCTAACTGCCCCTATCAATTTTGACTATAGCTAATCATTTAAATTTCCAAATTTATTTCTCTTGGTGTTTCATCCAAATGAGATCTGGTGTTAGATTTTGTGAGTATAAATAGTAGCAAGTAGCTTGAGATTATTAAATCAACAGGAACTGGCATCAAATTACCATTCTGACACTTACTACTTATGTAACACTATCCAAGTCACTAACCCGCCTCATAGATTTTAGTTTGCTTAACTATAAAAGTGAGGATCCCACCATCTTTCTCACAGGATGCAGAGAGGATCAAAATATATCATACCTAGCATAGTGTTAGGCACATAAGCTCTCAAATGCTAGCTTCTGTACTTCTCATTTCAAGGTACATGAGAATACACATTTCTTAATGACAGTGAGTGTCTTACTGGTTTTAACACCAACACCCACCTCAATAAATTACTAAATGAATGCATTTCATATCTGCTCAAAAATATTACATTTACCCCCTCATCATAATCACCAAATCCTGTTTTATTTAACGAACTGGGAAGACACATTATCCTAGGTTATCAGGAAAAGCACATATTTTAATATGCACTTTAGCTACAAAATTAAGATAAGTTGCCTCTTTACTATAAAGCCTTGCTACTCAAATTATGATCTGCAGATTTGAAGCCATCAACAGTCCTTTCAAGATGCAGAATATGAGACCATGCTCCAGACCTACTGAGCCAGAATCTAGTTATATTTTAGTAAGGCCTACAGATGATTCAAATGCACATAAAAATGAAGAAATACTGATTTTAAAGATCTCAATATAGTCTGTCCAAAGATTTCTATACCTGCGGCTCTATCAAATTCTATCTTTTGGGGAAAACAACTGACTTATTAATATATTAGTGTGAATTAGTCAAAATATTTCCAAGAGCTCCCTGAAAGCAGATTGTGAGGTCAGTGTAGGTCAAGGAAGGAATGGTGCCTCAGAAGATGGCACAATAATCACTCAAGGGAGGAGGTATTAAGAAGAAAGAATACAAATGAGTAAACAGTAAAAAGTGAGATGGAAGGGCACATAAATAATTTATTCACTTGACAAAACTAAACATCTACTACACTAGATATATGGATGGGTGGGGAAGTAAGATAAATTTAAAGGCTTTGCAGTAGTACAACTAAAGACTGAAGAGGACATGAACAGAAGCACAATCAGGGAGAATATGGCACAGGTACTTAAGAAAAAGAAGTAACTAGATATGGTTGCATGCTTGTAATTCCAGCACTCAGGAAACTAGGGCAGGAGTACTGAGAGTTTGACTCCAGCCTGGGCTACATACTGAGTTCAAGGCCAGCTTGGGTTATGTAGTGATATAATGAGACCCCGTCTCAGAAAGTCAAGTAAGAAAGGAGCTATCTGTCTCTTCATCAAAATCCGTATTTTTTTTTTTGAGACAGAGTCTTGCTACAGGTAACCCAAGAACTAATGATCCTCCTATCTCAGCCTCCCAAGTGCTGAAAACAGGCATGCAATACCATGCCCAGCTTCAAATTATTATCATCTTCACCATGCCTTTATACTGTAATTAATCTCCAAATCATTATATCCATCCATAAATACCAAGGAAGTCTGTCTGAAACACAATACTGATTCACTTGAAATCCTTCAATGGGCAACCCAAGCTTATAAGAAAGTTGTAAATTCCTTAACATTCAAATCCCAGTTGGCTAAGAATCTGAAACCATTTTTCATCTGTTACCACTACTACATCAAAATCAGACCAAACTACTGCCTGTCACCTTCTTTTGCTCATGTCTGATTCTTTTTATCAATTCTTAGTATACTGTCCTAGCTCTTCAATCTCAAACTTAGTAATTGCATATACTTTTGATTTTGCAATCCTGGGGTACACTTAAATTAAACCTACTGATTCATCCATAATTGAGGCTGGATCAAAGAAATCTGGTTTCAGTTCTGTTCTCTCTCGTCTGTTCTTTGATGGTGGCTAAGGAAAAAAAGAAAGTAAGCTGACATTGTATCTATAAACCAAATAGTAACTGATAATAGCCATATAATTATACTTAGGTGTCTGAATGGCCTACGTAATTTTAAGTGTACTTTACAATAATTCTAATACCATATAGTGAAACTATATAAAAAGTACAAACAATTCATTTGTTTAGAATTATTCTGTAAGACAAAAACTAGATACATTTTTCACATTATTTTAAAAATTCCTCTTCTCAAATGAGATACCAAATTATATTATCCCAAAGAGAAATCATGTTGAATTCTTTCTTTAAAAAAGAATATGCGATGGTTCACTAAAAAATAGAATCACAAGACCTGGCTTATAAGTCTCAAATTTACTGATTGCTAGTTTTTTATTCTTGGATAGTCTGACTTTTCAATCCTCTCAATCTACCTCACAAAATTGAATGAGGTAACTGACAAAATGAAATAGGCAGAAATATTTTGTAGAAACTCTAACCATATATACATACAATTATTAACAAAGAATATACCCTTAAATATGTTTAACTTCCTCAAGTTTAAGTAATTTTACTTTATTATCTGATATAGAAATTAGTCTAAATAACAGGGAGGTATCAAATTAATAATACATTATTTTGATAATGTAAATTTGTAAGGTAATGTAATACTTAATATACTAAAACTCAAAATGTTTCTGAAAAACTTAGTGCATAACCATTAAACATTTTATTATTGCATCCAAATTAACAAAAACCAAAATTTATATTTAAAATACTATTCATTCCTAAATTAATGTCAAAAACAAACATTTAATTCTTATCCTCTTAAACTAGTATCTAACACTCTCACCAATTCCTTGATGCCTTCTCATATACCTAAACTCTTAGGAACTATTTTATTTATAATATTTATACAGAAAATTATTCATTTTTCTCTAATAAATATCCAACTTCATTTCCAAAGGATGTAAACTGAAAATCTTACTTCTGGAAGTTTCTTACCAAGTCTATATCCATGGTATCAAAATCCATTCCCTCATTAAGATCCTCAATCCTTCCTTCTGAAGACATCATAACATCTTCAACAATTGGTTCTTCATCATCTTCCATTAGGCTTGTACCACGCCGACTAGAGAAATACAAAATAAAATGAAGACCTGAACCAACATCATGACTATTATTATGTAGACAGCAAGTACGTGGCTTTCTATGTTCAAGCATAATGGAAAATGATGGGAATTAAAGGTCAGGGAGAATGATTAGGCATTGATCATGTCATCAATGATGTTGAAATCCCAATGTTCACTTATGTAAAAATGCTAAAGATTTAGGTTTATTCTATATTACTTCTACACATTTAACTTGATAGTTCTGATATGCCATATACAAAGATCAATGAGTTTTCCACATGGGAACATATAATATACCTCAAATCCTT